GTGTGCCTTGTTGAGGTAACTGACGGAAGTTCGCGAACATGGGCTGCGGTGACTCAACCCTGATCACTTCATCTCGTCTCAGCTCAGGTTATGGCTACACTAACATCAGGACTGCGGGCAGTGGCAGACACTAGCTTCGTTGTTCATTTACGCCGATGGTCCTGTGTTACGGCGCCCGGAGCCGCCGGCGTGGCCGCGTCAGCTGCATCTATGGACGCACGGGGGAGCTCTTCATTTATGCAGGGCACTCGCCTTCTGCGCGCCAGGGCTCGCCGCGGACCGCCGCTGTCACGTGACCACGCCATGCCCTTGAATAAGACCATTCTGGTCGTGCTCGTAGGCCGGTGAAGATTATGCCAAACAGCGGTTACTCTACGCTCGGTTAGACAAATGCGCCTACTGGAAGTAATCGGGCGATATGGAGGGATCGAGATTCAGACTGTTCAGTGCGTTTCGGGACAGCCTTCATTGTGTCTGGCAGCTGAGTAGGAATACGTGGGGGTAGTCGATTGGCAGAAAAGCCTGACGATATCACGCTGGCCCGCGTTTTGTCCAGCAGTGGCATGTGCTGCGCGAACAACTCACCCACGCCTATACTGCTACACACTGTATAGTCTTCCACTAAATAGTGCCTTCCGCAGCACACACTCTGTGCCTAGCCAGTTTGCCATCGGGTACCATACAGTCTCGACGCCGTGTTTGTGTCGCGCCCGGCCATTCTGCTGTCGGCCCGCGCGTGCCTGTGGATGGAGTCCAGCACCTGGCGTTCAGGCTTGAAGCCGCCACGCTTCGGCGCACAGCGCTGTCACTGCGCCGCTTTTTAGTCGGCCTGTAGCCCGTCAAATCACCGGAAACGGTCTCTTCCGAGTCTTCAGGCACAAGTCACACGAGGGCGTTGAACGCCGGACCTGAATGGCCTACTTTTAACGAAGCACCGTGGGTGTTCCCCTTTCTCCTTCATATGGCTCTGGAGGTTAAATGGCGCTTATGATTTGTACAAATGATCCTGTCTTTTCCGTGTTTGGCCGCAATCCTGCTGAAGAGGCCTCCCGTGTCTGGACCAGTTCTTTCTTCTCTCCTTGGTTGTTTTTGCGCGCTGGCTCTCCTGTCGGATTCTTGCTGCCTGCCATGGCTACCTGGCTCTGTTGTCAATTATGCTGTTTAATTGTCAATTATATTATTGTTGATATGTTTATTATATCAGATATCTAGTTAAAATATTATTGATACGTTGACCGTCAATTGATTAATTGCCAATTACACTGTACAACATTTCCTTGGCTGGTCGTCCTGCCTGCTCCTGCTGATTATTTGGCTGTTTTTCTGTTACGACGTTTGCCCACCTGTCTTTCCTGCCGCTGCTCTGTTCCGACATCTGGCCCTCCTGTCCCAGTTTGCCGCTTTAATGTCTGCAGTCTTGCTATGTCGCCCGGTTCCACCGTCGTCTATTTCGCTGTATCGGCCATCTGGTTCTGCCATCCGTGTCTACCGTCTGGACGTGCGGCCTGCCTGGTTCAGCCATCCGTTTCTTCTGTCTGGCGTTGCTGTCCGGCTCGGCTGGTCGGCTCAGCTGCCGCGTCCGCTTCGACTGTTTACGGCCCGTGGTAGAAAGCGGACCGTTGGGCCGGCTGCACGCGCCGAGCGGTCGGCCCGTCGCACCGGGCCACTCTGTCGTCCGGTGGGAATATCCCAGCGCATTCCTCACTGATTTATTCCCAGGCTGGCCTCGTTTTACGTGTTGTGTTCATTCCCCATTCACTATGCGGCACGAAGGAACCGGCGCGCTCCGTGGCCGGACACGCATGATGCATTAGAAACAAACAACGTTGATGAAATCGCCTGCATGTGGGACGCAGTCAGCTGTTGCTTACTCTGACGCGTAGAGGTCACGTGACGTACCTCACCTGATTGCAGCCAACGTATATCTGTTCGTTTTTATGATAGGTATCAACACCTGCCATCGCCGTAGATATTGTGGTTCTGTTTGGAACGCTCCTCACGTGCTTCTTGTCACCGGATATATCTTTTCAAGACTGACCGTGCCTTACCTTTGATCAAAAACAATATGGCATTGCGAGACTGGAGGAAGCCGAGAGGCCTTCTAGCGCACATTCTTCAACAGGCAATTGTGGATGCTTGATTAGATTCTTTTCCAATCCTTAGTTAGCCGCTGATTTTGATTTATCATGCTATTAACAAGTCAGCATATGTATGGCAGCAATGCGTATATTCGTATAGCATATATCCACCACGCGCAGAATAAGTTTGCGGTGCCCCATTAAGCAAGCTAAGGCTGTTGTCAATTGACGACTGCAATTTAACATTCAGTTCAAGTCAACATCAGGATCTCTCGATCGCCGAGAAGCAGGCGATCTCTACCTTCTCGAGGCTCCCTCTCATCCAATCCCGTCTCCCGTGTTACTTAGCCACTGGGCAGGTCTGAGAAATGAACAGCCCGCCCTCTTCCCTCCGCTGCCTGCGCGCTCCAGCGCGTGGAGCAATAATAACGCGCCGGGACCACGGCCGGACCTGCGTGGCGAGCGGCGTCCACTGGCGCCTCGTCCTCGTCTCCCTTCGCACCATCAGCGTGCACTGTTCAGTGTGAAGCGCTGGCCGTCCAGCTGCCCGGAGGTGCTCTCCGCCTGCGGGTCGTGCTAGGGTCAGCGGCGTTCAGTCCTCTCGCCGCTAGTCCGCCTGCCGTCGGCCGCCGGCGGCGCGCAGGCCAGCCAGGCCGAGCCGCACCCGCCCAGACCGTGCGCACCTCGGGGCGGTCCCGTTGGGTGCGGTCGACCGCGCGCCGCGCCGCGCCGCCCCGCCCGGGCCACGAGGCCGTGCGTGGGCGCCGCGGCGGCCCAGCGGCTGGCGTGGGAGGCGGGGGCAGACGTGCGCCGTGGGAGCAGCTCGCCGAACGGCTGGCCACGCACCGGAGCTGCACGGTCACCTGAGCCGCGCCGCCCGCCCGCCGCCCGCCGCCCGCCGCTCAACGCCGCGCTGCCGTCGGCCGCCCGCCGCCCGGCGCGCGGGTCATCGGCCCATGGTGGCCCGAGCAACCAGTGGACCGGCGGCTGGCGCGTGCCACTGTGGGAGGGTGCAGGTGCCGCCTGCCTCACCCATCCGTTGGCATCGAGGGGTGCTGAGCTCAGCGGGAGACGCCCAGTCCGCGGCCTACTCCAGACACCGGCGCTGTTTTTCCTTTCGCGGCTGGGTAGGAATCCGAGAAGAACAACAAACACGCCGTGCAGTTTCGCACACTGGCGAATGACTCGGGTGTCAGGCTCTGTCGCGCAGCTGGCTTCTCTCTCGTTGCACGCCTAGGATAGAACCAGCCAGCCGATCGTGGGCAGTCACGGTAGCTTGAAGGCATTCTCTGCTCACGGATGGCCATAGATGAAGTGTCGACCCGCAGGACGTTGCAGATGGTTGGAGATTATTCGGGCTAGCAGTCGGTTAGAACCGGTTGGAGAGGGTCATGCACCCGTGCCGCCACGAACGGAAGTTGCAGCACGAGACGGTTCGTGACAACACGCTGTATTTGGCCATGGCCTCGAGAGTCGGGACTGTGAAGGTAACACGAGACGAATTGTCCGTTGTTTGTTGATGATTTGTTTACGAAAAGTGGAACGCAGGGATTGCAGCTCCTTGTGAATGGAACTGTGGCTATAAAAATAAGCGAATGCCTTGTTGCAGCTGGCGCGTCGACAGGAATCAGAAAACATGTTTTGCAGTGGCTTAGTGATGCCCACTGTATTTGGTATTTGTGCCCGACTTACGCGGTTGCAGGATTAGACTGAAGCAGAGAGGCCTTGCGCCTGGAACTTCCTACCCCAGCCAGTGACAAATTTAGCCTTAAACCATGGGGTGGCATGCGAAGAAAACCGGTCATCTTCCCACTTGAGCCCTCCATTCGTGGATTAGTTCCCTCGCCAACGCCTCTGGAGGCTGGAGCCGACGCTGTCAAATACGGCTTACGACCATTAAGATGCCTTCTTTGGCGTGAGGCGAGAGAGGTGGCGACGGAGATGAGTGTTGCATGACATCATGATGCCAAAGCACCGCCAAATGGCTTCTGGCGCGTTTGTAGACTCAGACAAATGAGTTTGCCAGCGAATCGGAATGTCCGTATTTCATGACAGTGAGTAATGAACAGTAAACAAGCAACGCGGTGTACTGCTGAAGTGTTCACGTGCTAACTCTCAAAGCACGGCTGAAAATTGACTGACAATAGGGCTGGCCAATGTTGTGGATGGTACAATCGCTTGTGCTATGTAGCTGGGTTAGACATTAATCTCGTTTGGTTGCCAACGCCTCGTAATCCTTGAGAACGCCCTAAGCAGGTGTATCCATGGCTTGCGCTCGAGTACACAACACCTGCCATAGGAACTGATGACGGTGTGTGCCGGTACCCTGCTCGTCCTTCGCTCTGCCAAGTCATGTCGGCCTTGTGTTTCTACGACCCCAGATTGTTATGATCTGAACTGGCCCCGACAAGTGTTGGCAGCTTTTTCGAAATAATCGATTTGAGCGGTTCTCGTGTCCATGGAATGTAATGGATTAAATTTTGGTCGTGTTGCTTTTGCTGCATGACAATCACATGCCTAGCTCGCATGCCTGAGGTACGTTACGTCATGACTTTTGAATAATAGTGCTTAGGTATATCGCTAAAACCCAATGAAGGCACTGGTCAGTGGTTGCAAAAAAACACCATGATTGTTCTGCTAGAATCGCTGAAATCACGAGATTCCGGGCTAGTTGGCGTGAAAACATGCTCAGCGTGAGTTCCCGCCTGCAAAACAGCGAGGTTCACAAAGTAAGCAAGTCAAGCGTGGCAACGACGGCCAATTTCAGTCCTTGAAGGCCTTCGATTGATGAGAGTTTGTCGTCCGATCGGATGATGGGTGAGGGCAGTGTTGTTTGACAACATGTTCTCCCGTGGAGAACCCAATGGCGGTGAAACAAGCCGCTGAGCCTGGTTAGTCATCTTGTGCGTCATTCCATTTCAGATGCGGCTGCCGCGCCGCTGGAGCCAAACTCTGCGACAACAGCACGGCGGCAGCACCCACCGATGTCCGCCGGCTGGTGGCGGCACCCGTCTCCTGCGTTACGCCAGCAGTGAGCCCGACCGGCCGGACTGCGAGTCCGAGCCCGAGCAACACTCCAGCGTCTCCGAGCGACACGGCAGCGGGGAGTCCGACTCCTGCGGTCGCGCGGGCGGCGACGCCGACCTCGAGGGGCCGCTCCAGTCCGGAGGCGTGCGGCGGAGACTCGCCGGCCGCCGACGATCGCCGCCGCCGCGACTCGCCGCCGCCAACGGGCGCGCGCCTGCCGCCCTGACGGCCATGAGTTCCCGCCGAACTTCAGCGAGTCGCCGCTGGGCGGCACCACCACCGCGGCGACACCGCCTCCGTCCGACGATCCGGACCTGCTGCTGCAGCCCCCTTCCGGCTTCAGCGACGGCTTCGGCCGCGTCCGAGGACCAGGAGGCCGCAGCGAACCCTGGGCCGGGTCCGGAGACCCGTGGCCGGTACCAGAGGTCCGAGTCGCTGAACGCCGTGAGCGACGACAGCAGGCAGATCGTGACGGCGGGGGTCGGCGGTGGCCAGACGAGCTGATGACAGGCAGCGCCAGAGCGTTGGGACGATCTTCTGAAGGCGACGGCCGGGGTGAGAGCGAGCGCCTTAGCAAAGGGCTCTCGAGGGAAGGTCAGCGTTAAGGACAAGATCGCGTTGTTCTCCAGTCAGTCTGTTGAGCAGCTGGCGCCGCCGCATCCGAAAACTGCACAAGCACAAGAGCTTAGACTCTGACTTGGAGCTGCGCAGTGCGTCAGGATCGCAGGCTCGGTCAAATCAGACCTACGACTGCCCGTTAAAGAGACTGGAAAAAATAGCGTCGGGTGAAAATGCATCAAGGCGAAAGAATATATCTGAACCACGTGGGAGCAGGTTCGGCAGTATGGTAACCTGCACCTTGCGGAAAGAAAGCTCATGACACTCCACGCACCAGTGATGTGCGATTGACCAGCAACAAAGACAGGGCCAATGATAACGAAAGGCCCGCGTGGATCGCAGGTCCAGTGATGAGAAAGGCTCCAGAGGAGATGCGTGTCAAGTCGCCACCTCTGGACACCTCTTCACATGTGGACGGATCCCAGGACCTGCCAACGCCGCACTCAGAGTCTCTAAGCGGCCTCTCGGGACAGTCGAGCCCTCGAGAGGCCTCGCCGGGTCCACTGTCAGAACGGTCGCAAAGCCTCTTTGATCTGATGCATCCTGAGAAAAGGCACAGCTTTGCAGGTCTTCACGAGCGGGGATATAGCTACTCTAGCCATGCATGCGACTTGTCCAGGAAGGTTTCGCTCAATTCCATTTCAGAAGAGAGAAGACGCAGCCTGTCCAGACTCCGTGGCCTGGTGATCCCGGATAAGGTGGATGGTTTCATGAAGAAGGGTCCTGTCGATCTGCCTACCATCAAGAGCAAAAATCTCTCGGGACTGAGCTCATCTAGCTTCCGGGCCTCGACTACCAGTTGTTCAAGCCCTCGGATAAAGCAGCCGATAGCTTCTAGGCCGGAGAGAACCGACTCGCGTCGACTGACCTCCCCACCCTGGAAGGGTGAATCGCCCAACATCCAGAAATACTCACCGGCCTTCAAGCGCAAGAACATCTCAGTCCACTCCTCGCACGGTGCGTCCGCCTCCGCCTTCCACCTGGTCTCCTGCTCCTCCAAGATGGGCGGCTCGTCGGTCGAGCTGTCGCGGCCGTCTCGTCGCGACCAGGCGGCGCCGGCTGAGCGGCGGAGCGAGCCTCGTGCGCCGCGACCGCGCCTGCCGGCCGCCTGCCAGGAAGGCCGCGAGCCCCTGCAGCGCAGCAGCTCGCTCAACTCGCGGCCGCTGACGGCCTGCAGCTCGCCGCGCCGCAAGGCGTCCGACGACGTGGCCGCCGACCTGCGCGACCGGCTGGAGCCGGCCGACGCCGACCTGGATGGCTCGACACTGACGCTCGTGGACGAACCCGAAGCCGAGCTGGAGCTGGCGGCGCGCGACCGCGCCGGCAGTGTCGACTATGACCACCGCGCTAGCACGTCCACGCTGCACGACTCACCCGTTAAGGATCTGGACGTGGAGGAGGAGCTGCTGCGGGCCGCCGACGCGCACAGAGCGGAACGGAAGAGCAGCGACGCGCTGGAGGAGCCCCAGTCGGGCAGGAAGAGCAGCGGCCCGCTGGGCAGAAGAGTTAGCGACTTTGCCCTGCAGGCGAACCGACCGGAAGGGAAGAGCAGTGATTCCGCGCCAGAGGTGAAGCGACCGAGAGAGACAGGACAGTGACTTTGTGATGGAATCACGCCCTGCTGAGAGGAGGAGCAGTGACCCCGGCGGGGCGCGCAGCGGCTCGAGAGGAAGAGCAGTGACTCCGCGCGAGATGCGCAGTGGCTCGAGAGGAAGAGCGGTGACCCCGCGCAGGAGCTGCACCAGACTGAGAGAAAGGGCATCGACTCCATATTGGAGCCGCGCTCGGCCGAGAGGAAAGACAGCGACTCGTCGCCGGAGGCTCGCTTGCCGGTGTGCAACGACCCAGCGCCGAGGGCGGCACCCTCCGGCGGCGAGAGGCTGGCCAAGGGTCCGGCTCGCCGCCACGAATCCTGGACGACGGCGCCTGGCGGAAGCACGGCGTGGCCGGCGGGCGGCGCGGCCCGGCACAGTCCTGCGGCGAGACGCGCGACCTGGCCAAGCTGCGCCAGGTCACAAAGGCCAGCGTGAAGTCGTTGAAGCAAAAGTGGCAGCAGCTGAGCGACGTGTCGGACACGACGCCGACAGGCCTGTCGCCAC